TGCCTGCAGTACTCCAGTACTAGCTGATCAGCGCATGCCTGCAGTACTCCAGTACTACCTCATCCGGTCCAGCAGCCTTACTTGGATTTACTGATCTCAGCACACATCTCACCTCCTGTTCCTGCAGTGTTGGTGTGTTGATATTAGAGATGAGTGGAGGTAGCACAGCTGAGGCAGGCATGCTGGCCTCAAATCAGGTGAAGAAACTGTTCAGCTCTTCAGTCAGAGAGGCGTCTGCCTTCACAATGTTGTTGGTGCAGCCTCCGTAGTTGGTTAACTGCTGTATCCCTTGGAACACCCTCTTAATTTCTGTCTTCTGGCAGCTCTGTACTGTGCTCTATCACCTGTCCTGAAGGCGGTGTTATGGTTTTTCAGAAGCCTCTGGACCTCACTTGTCATCCAGGGTTTCTGATTGGGAAAAATCTGCAGTTGACATTGTTAACAAAACTTTTGAGCACAGTCTCTGTGAACTCCTCAAGATCCTATGACAGAGAGAGAGAGAGAGAGACAAGAAAGAGATAGAGAGAGAGAAAAGGAAGAGGGAGGGCATGGCAGAGAGAAGGGAGTGAGAGAGCTAGCCCATGGTGCAATAGAGAGAGAGAGAGAGAGAAAAAAAGGAAGAGAGAGGGTGCGATAGAGAAAGAGTGAGTATGCGGGTGAGAGAAAATGTGTGAATGTGTGAAATTTCTGTAAAAAGCTAAATCTCCTACATAAAAAAACACTAATTTTAAAACAAGCCTAACCTGAACTTGTACATTAGATGTTTACCCAATATTTTGTAGAACTGGGCTGAGCCACAGATCTTTACATAGCCAGCCTTCGCCTCTGATTCATGTAGTTCCTGTAAAGCATTACCCAATTTCAATGTCATGCTTTTAGGTAAAGTGAACACACTTAATTTGTGAATATTACTGTGTATTTTTCTAGTTTCTGGAATCAACACTGCAGGAAGCAGATGCTACAGACTGGCTGCAGTGTGTCTGGGGCTGCTGTGTGTTCTCCTGCTGACTGCCATCACAGTGCTGTGGGTCAAGTTCAACAACCTGACTATAGAGAGAGACCAGTTACAGAGCAGTTATACCAATCTGACTACAGAGAGAGACCGGTTAAAGACCAGCTTCACCAACCTGACTACAGAGAGAGACCAGTTACAGACCAGTTACACCAACCTGACTAGAGAGAGAGACCAGTTAAAGACCAATAATGACAACATGAAGAATAAAACGGGCCAATTACAGAAAGAAAAGAAAACACTTCAGAAGAAGCTGTCAGAATTAGGTGAGTAAATAAAGCTCAAGTTAGTGATCATAGGAAACTACTCTGAAATTACTCTGCTAAGAACAAACAGCATGGTTTACATCAATGTCCTCCAGTTTAATGTTTCATGCCTGTCATGCATTCTTCCAATTGCTATCCACTTCTCCAGCATTCTGATTACTGTCAGAGGTGATTTAATCTGCTTGTGGGCCATGTGCTACAGGTGACTGGTGAAAAATGTATAAAATCAGTAATAGTTTCAGTTTCATTTATTGAAATTTGAAAAGGCAGGGTACAACTGCATAAAAACATAGTTTTTAAACAGTGAAACCTGAAAAACATTACAGCACATCATAAGCAGGTACAAGTTAATATGAGGATAAAATTAAGAGCATAAACCCTAAAAGAACTAGGTCATTTAATTAAGTATGAGGAATAAAAGAAAGTTCGTGTCTTTCAGTTCTGCTTGTTTGCACTAGATATTCCCTTCATCAACAAAGTGAGTAATTGGGTGTTTAGGCTGTAGGCAGATAATCATACAGGTGATTGGGTGAATTATCCTTGATTATGTTGCTAAGAATATAAGTTGGAATGCTGATGATTCTACAGTATGGATTTTGTATTCTCTCCACTCCCTCTGAGAGGCTTTTTGTCAGCCCACCCCAGACTGGGCTAGCATACTCAGGGACTAATGAAGGTCAGGTGTGTCTGTTTTAGAACATCACATAGAAAACTGCCTCTTTTGGCAACACTACGGTAATGAATCCTTGGCCTTGTCTTTGAGAGCATATAGTTAATGTAGGCATCCCAAGATAAATCAGATGATATCTAAACTCCAAGCAGATTTAAGGAGGAAACTCTGCTGATGTTTTTTCCAGAAATCATTGGAGATGGTGGAGAGGGGATTGAGTCCTCTCTCCTGGCTCTGATTACCATATCCATAGTCTTGGGTCAATTCATTGTTCACACTCACTCTGCAAGATGTTGGGGTCTTGAAGTACCACAGCCCATACCACATCATCATCTGCTTAAGTGCTTTAACACACTTCAACCACTGTTTTGAGCTACAGCGCCGCAATTCCTCCACCTCATTCTAGTAGTATTGCTGCTTTGCCGTCTTGTACAACAACTAGTAGTCAGAAAGGGCGGCACGGTGGCGCAGTGGCGCAGTGGGTAGCGCTGTCGCCTCACAGCAAGAATGGCCTGGGTTTGATTCCCGGCCGGGTGACCAGGGTCATTTCTGTGTGGAGTTTGCATGTTCTCCCCGTGTCTGCGTGGGTTTCCTCCGGGTACTCCGGTTTCCTCCCACAGTCCAAAAACATGCAGTCAGGCCAATTGGATGTGCTAAATTGCCCCTAGGTGTGAATGTGTATGTCTGTCTGTCTGCCCTGCGATGGACTGGCGACCCGTCAAGGGTGTATCCTGCCTTCTGCCCAATGACAGCTGGGATAGGCTCCAGCACCCCACCGTGACCCAGAAGGATAAGCGGTTTAGATGATTGATGGATGGATGGATGGATAGTAGTCAGAAACTTATTAGTAATTGATCCTCTGTTTAGTGGGGCAGCTTTATCCTGGATGGACCCAGACATGGAAGTGAAGGGTCAGTGGCCTCATAAATAGGGGTAGAGTAAGTTGTGTTCATAAGAAGGCCCAACTGCCTCATTGCGTCTGGTGCACATTTTTGAGCACATGATGTACTGTATGGGCTTGGGGGCCATTTACCAGCATTCCACATAATGGCTGGATAGTCAGAGGTGCCAACAGGGGGCAAAAGCACAGGTAACTCATACATGCAAGAAATGTTAGTAAAAATTTCTGGTTTTCTTGATGCACCAGGCACAACCTGTTTCAGTTTGTGTCTGACACAGATGATTTCAGCCTTTCACCTATTTGTGTCCCCAAATTCCTGGTCTACATGAGTCAGAGCAAGAACTAATAGACTCCCTGAATATTTTTTATCCTTTTTTGCTGCTGATGAGATGGGAATGTAAGATTTAAGCTGGTGTTTTATATTCACTGGTGGACAACAGTGAAGACTTCTGTGATAGCAGACTAATATGACTGACTTGGATATCGACAACAGTGCCAGTTCTACAAATGCTATAGCAACCTGTCCCATTAGTACATAGTAGCAGTGACTGCTATGACTTAAAGCATTATATCTCAATCCAACCAATTTTAAATCTGAAAGCTACTTTGTGAAGCTGAAAACTTAAACTACATTTTGATATAACTGCTTGGAGGTTTGTGTAGGAATTATTTCACATTTTAATGAAATGTCAGTGCAAAAATGCCTCACCATTTCCTAAAGAGCAGGAAAAGATCACTGTATATATGATTTAACCTCATGAGAGGAGATTCCTGGTTGATAAATTGAGATAGGACAGTTTTAAAACTTGTTACCATGACTAGTTCATATTTATACTTGGATTATCTGCTATACGTGACGTGGTTGGACATCCCATTCCGTAAACCATGGATATTAACATGGAGTTCTATCACTTAAGGCTTTTTCTAAAATATTATTATCTTTATTATTTTGAGATAAAGAGTCAGCGCACAGCTTCTGAGCTTCTGAAGCCCCTGATGTTTAAAGATCTATGTATGTAAGTCAAACAGTGGGCCGGGCAAAGCAACAGTCTTTTAAGCCTGAATTTTGTAAACTTTTTCTTTACTATAGAGAACAATGAATTAGCAAACTTTATTCGCTTATAATTCTCTCTACTGATGTCTTTGACATTTTCATATTAGCTTATACTATAACTGGGCTAGTATTGCAGGTACAGGGCATACAGAATTACAAGAGCGCAACAACTTCTCATGCTATATATAGTTCCAGACTGTACCACATTTTATGTAGTCAGTGTAATTGCACTTTGAGTAATTGCGCATCGAGTCTATTAACATGAGCCTAACTACACTATGTATGAGTGGATATTTATAACTCACTTAAACTGATTTATCAAAATCTGCATAATTCAGTTACTGAGAGGTAAACAAAGTCATTCTTAGTGGTTTAATGTGAAATTGTGGATCATTGTGCACAAACATACCCACTTGGTTTTCTTTGTAAGACGGTGATAAGAAACAGGTCACACTCTCTCCAACACAAATATTGCCATTTGTTGCTGTCCAAAGTGTCAGATTATATATATACTCTTGATAAGAGTAAAACAGTGGTAAATCTGGAACATTTTTCTTTTGGTACTCTTTTACCTTACAAGCACTATTTAAATATTTAAAACCATTTCATATAACAGCTTTCTGTAATGTAGCTTTCAGAGGCAGTAAACACTTTGAATGAATAGCTCCTGTCACCACCACTGTGAATAATTCTGACTCGGTAACATTCATAAAGACTAAGCAATAACTTCTTAATGATTGAATTACACAGAAAATCTGAAGAATCAGATGGAGGTTCTATTTAATTGAACTGATCTACTAATGCATGACTTTCTCTATTAAAGAGCAAAAACAGAGGAGTTCCCAAAAGAGTTTCTACTACATCTCTACTGAGAAGAAGGGCTGGAGTGAGAGCAGACAGGACTGCAAAAGAAAAGGAGCAGACCTGGTGATCATAAACAGCAGAGAAGAGCAGGTGAGAGAGAGAGAGAGAGAGAGAGAGAGAGAGAGAGAGAGAGATACACTACTCTTCAGCTGTATATATTCACATTGTGCTATACTGTACCATGTCAGGAGTTCATCACTAAAGCATCTGGCAGAACTGAAGCTTGGATTGGTCTGACAGACACTGACACAGAGGGGGTCTGGAAATGGGTGGATGGCTCAGCACTGACCACTAAGTAAGAGACCACTGAGCTAAGCTCTGCTCATGATGCAGTTATTCAGTTATTCTAAGAAGTTCTAGAAATGTAATAGTGAAGATAATCTGATTCTCTGTGTTTCAGGTTCTGGTGGACGGGGGAACCCAATGATTATGAAAATGAGGACTGTGTTATAACTGGCTATAGAGGTGCTGGATCTGAACATGCGTCAACCTGGGCCGATTATCCCTGTGGTTACCCTGTAGTTGGAATCTGTGAGAAAAGTCTGTAATTTAGTCTACATGAGAGTGAACAGTAAAAAACTGATTTTTCCATGTTTAAAATATTGGAATCATATATTGTAATATTTCACACTGCTAGCCTATTAGTACAGCATTGCCCTTAACAATATTTTTAACAAGGCAGGGATTTAAGTACAGAGTTGAGTGTAAAAATAATATTCAACTTTTTAAATCTATCTGGATGCTTGAACTCAAGGACTTGAGTCTTTGCTAAGCCCTGAGCCCTCAGTTACTGTCTGACAAGCTTTCGAGCCTGGCATTTTAACTTCTAGCCCCAGTGAACACACATAGCCCCATATACACACACAGCCCGCTGCAGCATGGACATTCTTTCTATGCTGTCTTATAAAATTACACATTAAACTGTGATTAATTCAACAGTGTTTGAAAACTATTTCCCCTCATTTTATGACTCAAACATATGCATTTTAGATCTCCCTTGGTGTGGACAGGTTCAGTTTATGGGGAACCTAGCCACTTCCTATTTCTCCCATTATAACAAAAATATGAGTGGACCCACATGTGAGTCCTAAAAAATGAGGGATAAATGGAGCTATAAATGAAAGTGTAATATGTTTATAGTCATTTATGCCAAAATTTTCTTTCATGAACATACATAAGGCACTATATGCGATTTCAGACTGTGCCTTCAACATGTGGTGGTAGTATGAGGGAAGACTGATTGAGGGTGAGGGAGAACTCTGAGAACTGGGGCTGGAGTTGAGGTCTGTTGAGGTCTAGGACTGTGTGATTTTCACATGATGAGAAAGGACAGAGGTCCAGCAATCTCTGTCCTGCAACAGCTGATTCTGAGGTGACAAGAACTATAGCAGCTTGGGTAGAGAATCTGGTACGAGTGTATGCCAGTAGAATATGGAGGAGCAGGATTCAGAATCAGGTGTTGTTCAGATGGTCTTGCATTGGGGTATCTGAGTCAGACAGAGTACGCTAGGGTGAACAGGGCTTGGTGGAGAAGTTTAGCCTAGGAAGAAAAGAGAAGAATGAGATGAAAAGAAAAATGGAGCAGATAAATTTGATTCAGTGTCATATCTTGATGGTGGCATGGTGACATGCTGCTTAACAGACATCCAGGTCTGAACCCTGATGAGCAAGCTGAGGGTGACAGTGGCAAGGAAAATCTCCCAGTGAGGAAAAAAATATTGAGAGGAACCAGGACTCGACAGGGGAACCCATCCTCTTCTGGTCGACACCAGATTGTGTAGATTGTGTTAAACTTGGCAGGCAAAGGGGCTGGATGAGAGTAAAGCAGACTGAATTCTCCTGAACGAAATAAACATGGAGCAGGAATGGCTGTTAGAGGGCAGTTGCTGACTTGATGGGTGTGATGACGGAGGCAGTTGGAAGATGCTCTAGTCACTTGGCATGGAGTATCCTGTTGGCAACAGCATGGTCGTTCAGTTATAACATTGGATGAAAATCACTTGCTTCAAATTTAAGGCCCCAAAAAGGCCAGCGATGGCAAAAGGACATGGCTCCCAGGGACAGAGGGATGAATGGGATGAAGAATGGTCAAAATGGCTAGGAGAGCAGCAGATTACCGTGGCACAGGCAGCATCGTCACAAACAAACCGATGTTAGTCCCGTCTGGGGGAGTCGAAATAGAGCTGATCCAGTGAGCACTGTATTGGGCCCATACTCGATACCTGCATTGGTATCGATATATCCCTATTAGGAACCCATTCATTTTGGATTTGCTTTTCAATGTTTTAATTTTACAGCACATCTTAACTTTTGGCACACTGAAGCTGTATGGAAAACGCTGAGAATGGTATGTTGTAGTCTAAGGAACCCCCCAGCAAAGACAGTGGACAATTCTCTACCATAGTCTAACTTTTTGTTGATATCCCTTAATTGTCCATTGTTTTAACAGTAGAAGTAAATAAATCATTATGTAAAAATGTTATTCAGATGAGTCCTTTATAGTTCTCTGTCTGTTCTCTTACCCAACACAGTTATTATCACCTGTGGAACATTGTCATCATCTTCCTTTCCATTGTGGCTCAGGGTCCACTGGCAGCCAGGGATCCACTGACTACCACAAATTTTATTGTTACAACGTAACCACAATAGGAAACTGCACATTAATAATTTTCATTTTCAAGAGGAATAGATTTCCATTGTTGCTAAAAAGTGCATGTTAAAGCCAGTCATGATTTTCTTTTAACTATTATCTGTATTTTTCATGATGTTTTTACTGTAAATTTGCAGAGAAAGAATGCTGTTTGTATTTTCTATTGAGAGATTTTTTAAATAACTTTTTCTGCTGTTTTCTTCAGTTCAGTTTGAGTTGGTTGTGACTAAATTGAAGAGGAGCGAAGTTGTGTGTTTTGCTGCAGGAGGCTCAGCACTGCCACTGTGTACATACCAAAATGTATTTCAAAAACAGTCTAAGGTCTTTTTATCCATAATACAAAATAACACAGCTTTAAACCACATTTTTTATGTTATCCGCTGATGTCTTGCCTTCAACAATTTGAAAATATGTATTTGTCACTAGACGACACTGTTTTAAACAAATGTTTTGTACTTTGTACTTAATCTAAGAAATGCCTGGATGAGAAACTATGAATAATTTCAATAAAATAATAAAGTAAAATTATTTCATTTTCATGTGCATCTTATTTCCATAACTTGCACAGCTTGCACAAACTCACTAATGTTTTCAGAGTATTAACATTTTTTAATACGTTGTATATGATAGCAAAATGAAATCAGAAAGGTAAATGAATAGCAATAAGATATGCAAGTGTAATTTCTGCTCATACACATTTTAAAACTTGCTTACCTTTATAGGCTACGACAAACAAGTCACAGGCCATTCCTATTTCCTAATAGAGCAGAACCACAGTGAGTAATGCAATGTGAACTGGACATTCTGTGCCATGTTTGGCTTAAACGCACATCCCTTATGTTGGTAATAAACTGAGTACATTAACCACTAATGTTGACTGTGAATGATACATAAGGGCTGGGCAACGGTCTCCTCTCAACAGGAGCGATTACAACGTATGTCACAGTTTTGAGACCTGATCAATGTGGGAGGTTGGGACTGTTCAAATTTCAGCTTCATTCTTAAGTTTAGTGGTTGATTATTTAATATACTTTAAAACCCACCAAAATTATGTCAAGATAAACGTCAAGAGTTTCCCTAAATCTAGCATTTAGATCAGAGACCAGATCATTACAGGAGGGAGTCAGAGCTGTATGCGATGAACTGATTGCAAATGTTTTTAAACTTCTGTTTGAGTCAATGTAACACTTTTTAAAATATTCAGGCACTTTCTTTCTTACTTCTAAATTGATTCGAAAGGAAATACAGAAATGATCTGATAAGAAAACATCAGAGATTAGGGACACGTTTGTGTTAAAATTTCTTGTGATTACCAGATCCTCCTTCAAATCAAATGTCTTTAGAATTCTAATGAATTCTAATGCATTACTGCCTGATGGGCTATCACTATGTAAGTTAAAGTCCCCAGAAAGAAGAATTTTATCATAGCTTGTGGATACAACTGACATTAATTTCTCTTGGGAAGTCTATATATCACAATTAGTAACATAAAAGTATCACTAAAATGTTGATTGCAACATACTTAAGACATAAATTCACCAATAGTGGTATTTTTTTCCCAGTCTTACTGTATGCATAAAGCTGTAGCTTTCAAGAGCAGCTTCAAGTTTTGTGCCATTTTCACTTTGCCACGTTTCTGACAGAAACAAATTCAAGGTTATGCTCTCTGATAAGATCTCAAATCAGAAGCGTTTTGTTATTTAGTGACCTTACACTGAGTAAACCAATCACAGACAATATGTCATAATCAATACCTCCATTGTGTTTACTACTTACCGATCTGTTGTTTATTGCCATTATGTCCAGTCAGGCCTGGTGTAGTACCTTCTCTAATGATAGACCCATGGCAGATTGGGTGTAATCCATCCCTGCAGTAGAAGGCCGGTCACTCCCAGAAAGCACTCCAGTTGCTCACATAGCCAATGCCATTGTTCTTGCACCAGCCTTGGAGCCAACAGTGAACTGTGCAGAGCCTGCTGAACACCTTGCATCCACTCCTGTAGGTGGAGGTCCCGAGATGATGATCCTGGACTCAGTCCTCTTCTTAACGGTGTGTAGAAGTAATCCAAAATGCTCCTTGCGTCATTCATTCCCACTTGAACGACCACGGTGGCAATGTCCTCATATTTGCTCAGAGCAGCGGGAAACTGCTTGGAAATATTCAAGACCCGGGCTCCTGGAAAACGAGATAGCAGCATTACCTCTAGAGCCAGCTGCTTTCAGATGTCTGACGATGGAATGTCCGATTATTAGAACACTGTCCTCAGTCATTCTCCGAGGCGCTAGAGCAGGTGGACAGCTGAGGGCTTTGAACTGGTTACTGGAGGCGAAGTCCGCCAAAGGAGAAGTGGGTGAAGACCTTCTCTTTCCCTGGCCATGCTGGCGTTCCCAGACTTGCTCTGGTGTGGTCATGAAGTTGGGGAATCCTGGTGTTAGCTGTGAACGTAGCTCTTCATCTGTACAAGTGAAAGTTGCCACCGGATGTGAAACCGCCATATACAGGGCTTCCCAGGCTGCTTCAAAATGCATTTTCCACTTGTGGGCCTCGGTCTCCCACCCCAGGCAAGTCCTGATTTGCAGATCCAGCTGCTGCAGTTCTCTGGTCAACATCCGGAGCATGTGTTTAGCGACTGCCGCCATTTTCTCAGCATCCACTGAGAAAAGTAAAGGTTAGTTCAAAACTAGAAAAAACTAAAAAAAACTGTATAAAGGGGTGCAGCTATTAATGAATAAGGGTAATATTTATGTATTCAGTTGTGATAAACATTAGTAGATAGTGATTCTCAGCTTATCGGTCTTTAACTGATAAGTGTTTGTGCTTTATAAATTCACAGGACCTCAATATCAATAGATATTACCAGCCAACCAGTTTAGCAGTCGGGCCCCAGTTTTTATGATTCAAACAATATTAGTCTCATAGCTC